ATATATATATAAAAGTTCGACTCTTGAGAATAATACTTGTAGTTAAAATTTTGAATACCTAATTGTTAAACAAATAAAAAACACCATCTAACGAAAAATTAAAAAGACCTAGCCAATTAATAGTATGGAATTTAAAAATATAAGTATATATATAATCTACTCATATTGCCAACCCTATTAATGCAGCCCAAAAATGGACGGCATGATTAGTGTGTGTGTGTACGACAATATTTTGGAGGAGAATTGGTTATATATTTTGTACTTCCATGTGAGGTTGTCCTACAAGCTATATTCTATATATTGACCGTTGGTTAATATTATATTTGAAAGGGTTCACCTTATTGCATATTTGAAAGGGTTCACCTTATTGCATATTTGTTCTTTTATATATGTACTTTACTACCATATACAAAACAATCATAAAGATGTGTGTTCTAATTTGAGGTCTAATCATAAAATCAATTTTCTTTAGTTCATAAATGTGGAAACTGAGACAACAGGGTTTGTTCAATAGTGTATAGTTCATAATTGCTTGGAATTAGGGGCCCTTTGCCGACAGTTATACAAGAGATATAACCATATTGTTTATACCAAATTTAGAATTATTCAAATTTAGATTCTTTCGTTTTCTCAAATGACATGCGGTTGTAATTGATCCCTACTTGTCTAAGGAAATAACTAAGCATCCAATTAAGCCCATCATTTAGACTTGTTATAGGATAGGTGTCAACAGATAATATTATACCAATATATTTTTTTTTTAAAAACATACATAAAACACTTAGTTTTAAGAAAAAATCATGAGTTCACGTGTCTTATTTTTAACATGTAAATTAACAATTTAACTTTATTTTATCCTTTAATGAAATGATATATAGTCATACAAATATATATAATTAGTTTCGTCCACAGTTTTCAAAAGTCTTTTTTAAACTACATGTCACGTCAAACTACTTATATAAATTGAGACGGAAGAAGTGTCCTTTTTTACAATTTTCAATCAAACTCATTATTGTTACTCTTCAAATGCGCATTAGGTAAATTCACTTTTATGCAATATATCGCAGTTGAAACAAAAATTATAGGATAGCAATCAAGTTGGTCGACAAGAAACTTTATAAAGTATAGTCAAAACTCAAACATATGTATGAAAATTCAAACCCACTGACTTTTAAGTTTGATTACCAAATCAGCCCAACATGTAGCACTTGAATTTTTACATATGCATTTATAGTTCTTAGTTAGTTTCCTTAAACGCTTATTCTTTTTCTCCATTGTGGGATGTTTGGTAGATAAATTATTTGGGCTGACAAGATTTGTCTGTAGGCAATCTATATTTATGGGAAGTTATCAAAATAAGATAAAAGAAGGGAGAACTCGTATCAAATGCATGGTCAACGTTATATGCACTGACATTGTGCATATTGCTTAAACTATAAGACACATGTTATTGTGTGCCACTTATCTGACAGTCCAAAAAAAAAAGAAAATTGCGTACATTCTCTACGATAAAAATAATTTTTAGTGGCAATAAATATTGATATTAATAAAGAATGCTAAAGTTTTTATCGGCATTAATTAAGTGTCATTAGAATTAATGTCGCTAAATATTTTAGGGACATATACAAAGAGTGTTAATTGTTGCTAAAAATACATATTAACAATAATATTTAAGAATTAATTGCTGCTAATGATTATTTTTGATGTAGTGATTGTGTAGAGAACTTAAATTTTAATGCAATACTATTGGGTTATATCACTACCAAATTACCTAAAATATCAAATTGTTAGTTTATCCAAAGTTTGTAACGTCAGAAAATTACCTCATACCTCAGACCTGTCTTTATTGCATAATACATCATAGATGGTTGGAGATTTCATATTGTATCCTTTGACTTCACATAGTCAATTGTGATAATTTCACTAGAGAGTAGTTCTCTAATAGTATTATTTCTACGTCTTATATGAAGAGAATTTCTATTATACATCATGTCCCCTGCTCTATCAATGGAACCTTGACTATCACAGTGAATGCATACTGGTGTCACAGATTTGGGTCAAAAAGAAATATCTTTCAACAAATTTCGGAATCATTCACCTTCTTCATCGACCTTATATAGAGCGATAAACACATATGTCATTCACCTTCGTGGACATGGCACCACGAAGCCCAAGCTCAGTGTTGAAGATCGTGCCACGGGGAGTTTAAGCTTACAGCGTTGAGGGTTCGTGGCAAGAAGCAGGGTTTCAACAGAAAGTTGTTTGAAAGTCAAGATTGAGTCACACTCGGAATAGTGGTTATTTTCTACCATTATAAATAGAACCCTTGGATACCTTTTTTAGGGTTAATCTCTTTTTGGCTTGCCACAAGACGATGAGAAAACTACATAAATAGATATCTTATTTTTTCTACTTTTATATTCTTTAATTTTGCATGTACAACACAATGCTTTACTTTACAAATTATATTTTACTCTCTCTAGTTCAATTTATAACACACTTATATAGAAGGAATTGTCATATATACCATATTAAATTTGCAAGTTCTAAATATATTGTTATGTAACAATTTTTTTATACTATATATTTCGTATACGATCAGAAAACACTTTAAAATGAAATGAAAGAAGTATAAAGTAACCCATGTTACACATTTTTAAACGCAGAAGATGCATCTAGTCCATAAAAACAAGTTTCTTATCACTATAAAAACACTGGTATTTTTCTTTTTGCTAAAAGTACCTTCTTTGTCAAATAACCATACACATCATCAAGGAAAAATATACACTTAAAAGGAAACTCTCTTCAGAAACTGGAACAAAAATGCTCAAATTATACCTTCAACTTTTTAAGAAAATTAAGTAAAATTCCACATCTCCAAATCCTTGAAGGCTTGGACGCTTCAATTACTTTTTCATCACATTCATCATGATATGATCCATCCCAAGACACTCCAAAAATAAAACTGTATTTATTTTCTTTTCTCCATTTCTAGCACTCAGGTGTATGAGTACGATCTCTTTGGGGGTCACGACAATAATCGTACACTTTATAGTTCCTTTGCACCCATTCCATTGCATCATTCTGTTGGCGGCTCAGCCCGCCGGATCTCGATGGAGAGCCAGATGGCGGGCGGCATGAAGGATTATCGTTGGTGGTGCAACCACCTATCTTGAAATTGTTGTATTTTCCGACGAATGGTTGGTACCTATTAGACATACAATTAAGTAAATTATTGTGCATCTTCTTTAATTATTTAATTAATTTTTTGGATTAGAGAATCATACAAATAAAGAATATAATTAAACCGTACTTATAATCAGCTTTGATCCTTCCATCCTCTGTAGCCCATGATGAAGCATCCCAAATGGAACCATACACATACATTGGCCTTTGTGGAAATATTGCATCACTTTTCTTTGGGTACCTTCTTATTGGAACATCGTCCACAAAAAATCTACACATCACCATTAAATAGACACGTTAGAAAAAACAAAGAGAAAAGATAGTTTTCATTTGTGTACTGGGGTCTTAATGTTTGCATTAATATAATGTTGTTAGTGAAGTATTAATTCATGTATGTGTTACTACTCCCTCCATCCCATTTTATATGAGGTAGTTTGACTCAGCACAGAGTTTAAGAAATAAAGGAAGATTTTTAAAACTTGTGGTCCAAAATGAATTATAGAAATTTGTGTAGTTGTAAATCATTTCATTAAGGGTAAAATAGATATTTTATAGTTAAATTATTATTTAATATAGAAATGTGTCATTCTTTTTTGGACTGACTAAAAAGGAAAGTAAGTCACATAAATTGAGACAGATGGAGTATTAAACTAGGGACTAAAAAGGAAAATAAGTCACATAAATTGAGACAGATGGAGTATTAAACTAGTGAATTCAGTCTAAAATAATTAAAGAAGATGGAATAAGGACGTACATTATTTCATTGGGGTTCCAAAGGATAGCATAATTATGAAAACCTTTAGTTGGATCGAACCAAAGATGAAACTGCATTTCTCTGCCAATAATATGACCATCCCCACTTCCTTTCATGTACACATTTGTTTGCAACACATATGGTTTACCTGGAGTAGTCCCAAGGAACTCAATATCAATTTCATCATGATGCCCTGGAAAGTCTTCACTGTTCGAAAGCTATAACGAAGAATTATACATATTAGAAATAACATAGTAGAACATTTTATATTTTGTATTTGAGTTAATTTTAAGATTTTTCACGTAGAAAGAAGTAATAATTCCAGCAGTGTAACCAGGTTGTAGCTTGAGAGAGGTGCCAAAATAACCAGATCGATAATCTCTTAAAGATTTAAAGCCACTCCCTGAGTTATGATCAAGCCAAATTGTTAAAGTATCTTGGTTGAGTGATTGATGTTGAGGACCCCATAAGTTTCTAAAACCTTGACTAAAATGTAAGGATCCAACTCTAGAACTAGGATAGTAGCCCGGAGAAGGCCAACCCGAACCCTCACAATTGCTTAAACAGAATAAGGAAAGCACAAGGAGAGAAACAAGTAAAACCATACTTAACAATTGCTTGAGAATGATGATGAATACTTTTGGTTTGAAATGAGAAGAAGTAGACAAGGGTATATATAAGGACATTTGAGTGGCCCCACAAAAGAAAATATATCAAGTGATAAGGAGTTGGTATATATACGTAGTGACAAAGAAGCAATTTGCTTATTACCTTTTCTTTTGTTTTGTTATCCGTAATTATTTTATTCAAGATCTAGAAAAAGTTAGTGTGTTAGGAATTTTCATTACATTTTCTCCGGTACACACCAATTCAACAAGAGAGATATGAAGTTGGATAGATCTGATTATTCATTCTAGATTAATATTCCTAGTAACGAAAAATTTAAGTATAATTTATATAAATATCGTAATGTTAAGAGCAATATTATTTCTCTACTTTTTTTAAAATTACAAAAATGTCTACATCGCTAGACTTCCAGATACATCACTGGACATCCAGATATATAGGTGAGGATGTATCAGAGAGGCGATAGGACATCCGGATACATCACTGGAATTCCGGATACATAGATGAGGGATGTATCAGAGAAAGGAGGGATGTATCAGAGAGAGGAGGGATGTATCCGAGAAGGGGATACGATGTATAAGTGTGAGGAGAGTGATGTATCGGACAGAAATTTTTGAAAAAGAATTAAATGGTAAATTTTTTTAGAAATTATAGTAAAATAAGATGCATATTTAGGTAATATTTTCCAAATTTTAAAGACCTAACCAATACTATGGATGTTTTAAAAATAAAAAAAAAGCATACCCTACTCATATCTTTGCAACCCCAAAAATGGACGGCGCTAGTGTGTATTTAGGAAGAGAATTGGTTATATAGTTTGTATTTCCATGTGAGGTTTTTTCCAATAAATGAGCTTGTGTTCACCTTGTTGATTGTTAATATGTTCTTTGATGTACTTTATATTATCGTACCAAACCATCATATAAATGCGTGTTGTACTCTCTTTTTTCATTTAGTGAAATAAGTATCTATTAATTTGCTTACTATGAAGTGAATCAGTTATATAAATATATCAACTTTTGTTCTGCCAGATTTAATGTGCACCCGGGACAAGAAATAATAACTTGTTTTGGTTAATCGTGACATAATAGCTTATATTATTTTAAAGATATAAATCAATACAACACCATTCAGTTATTTCTTCCTCATATTAATTTTTAACAAAATCAAAATTATAATCAAACCAAATGTTATAAAAAAAAAATTAAAAATGTAAAATCAAATCAAATCCAATTAAAGATCGATTGTTTATTTACTTTGAGTCAATTTAAATCGATTTGTCGCTGAACGGTGGGAAAACGAGAGAACTAATATAACTGTTACTTGGTAAGGTTATGGCATAATCCACTATTAATGTTGTTGGGGTAATTTTATATTATTATATAATCGAATTCAATTTGTTTTTAATTTGAACGTACTCCTGTCCTAATTACTTGTTCATTTATAAATTGGCACACCTATTAAGAAAACAATTATTGACATAGTAAGTTACTATTTTACCCCTATTAATTATGAAGTGAATGAATTAAAAATTTAAGATTTTTAATTTTTTTTTACCTTTTTCAAAATAATTAATTGAGCGTATAATAGATAAAAAGAAAATTGTCCTTTCTTAATTTATCAAAATGGACAAATAGTTAGGACCACACATTCAAAATTCCAAATATGCTGATCAATGATCGACGATAAATGGTACCGACGGCTTAAAGGAATAGGATTAGAGGAATACGATATTAAAGTTTGTCTATGCTAAACAAGTTGCCTCAAAATTATGTTTCAACTAATTGATTTGGTAGATTATAACTTTCAACATATCTACTAAATTGTATGTATTCACAATCAACTAGGTCAAACACCATACGTGAAAAATGATTTCTTATAATCAGTTACAAATGAATTAAAAAAATGATAATATGTCCTATATATAATATAAATTTGTATAAATATAAAAACTTAGGGAAGTGTTAAATGGCCTAAATATTTGGCTAGAATTTGGCCAGAAAATTAATAAAACTATAATCTTTTTTTTATTTTAAAACAAACTGATCTTTTTTCCATTTTTTAGTTAAAATGTATTAAAGTTAAAAGGGTAAAAATATTTAAAAAGATAAAATAACATAGATAAAATATCATTCTAGTTAAATTCTGACCAAATTTTCTAGCCAAAAAGATTTATAAAGAAAATTATTTTAAAGTACAAAAACAAGGGAAGTGTGGAAAGTTGAGACAAAAGCGTTTGTTCAATGATGTATGTAGGTACGGACATGTCCTACTTGATGAATTTCTTGGAATTATGGTTCTCTATGCCGACAGTTAAAAGGAGATTTGGCCATGATTACTATACCATATATTTTTCTTCGTCTCATTTTATATGTCATATTTTTACTTTGTATTTGTATTAAAAAATAATGTAATTTTACCCCCTCTACTCTTATTTAAATTTTTTGGAACTCAAGTTTTCAATTAATGAATATGAATTAATTTATTTTGATTAATTAATTTAACCAATGAGCATGAATCATTTACTTAACTTTTTTAAGTTGATCAAATGTATATTTTTAAGGCTAATAACTCATAAGGATAAAAAAAAAGGAACAATATGATAATTTATGCATTGATTTTATAAAATGACAAGTATTATGAACCAACTATTTATAGAAGAGGATGACATATAAAATGGGACGGAGGGAGTACTTTATTGTAATAAAATCATACCAAATTTAGAATTGTTGAATCCCTCTTTCTTGTCATCTTCTCAAAAGGAATCAAAAGACACAGGGAAAAAGGATAAATATATCTCCAAACTATAGTAAATGGTATGCATATACTCTCCGTCATAATTTTGGGACATTGGTGCATTTGCCGTTCAAAAATTAGAGCATATATGCCCTTCACTCTAACGGAAGACTAAATAGGGACACGTGACACAATCTTATCCGTTGATCCGATATTTAATATATGTCGGATCAGTGGATAAGATTATGACACGTGTATATTCGTTAGTATAAAGGGTATATATGCTCTAGTTTTTGGATGGTAGGGGCATCAATGTCTCAAAAGTATGACAGAGGGTATCTACACACCATTTACAATAGTTCAAGGGTATATTTGTCATTTTTCCCAAAGACAAATTGAAGTCTCTACATTCTTATAATCATATATAGGGATAAAAAGATTATAAGGAGGAGTTCCATTTTTTCAATGAGTTAAATAGTATAATAATATATAGAATATTTTTTTTGAATTTCATATCTAAATTATTGGGAGTAGAAAATAAAATAAAAATTAATTTTGTGGTCCTAAATTAAAATTATGTCAAATATACCAAATTATTTTTTAATATTATAGTCTTAAGCATGTCACGTGAAAACTAAAATTAAGTTATTGTAAAAAAAAATGTCATTCTTTTTCAAACCAACTAAGAATTAAAGTAGCTCATTCTTTTAGAAACAGAGGGGTAGATATTAGGATTTTAGAATATAGTGGTCAAAACAACTGAAATTTTCGGAGGAGTTACGTTGTTCAAATTTAAGTGCTCGTCTAAATGTAGTACAAATACCTCATACCTTACTGTTGAAATACAGCTTATATCAATAGTAACTCAAAAAAGATCATATCAAACATCATTATTTGACAAATTTGAGATTGAATTAGAAAATTTAGGATGTTAATTGATCCAGTTGGTCGACAAGAAACTTTATTAATTTGCGAAAAGTATAGTATATATATTCAAGCTTTTGTGCATCAAAGTATAAATAAAACCAAATTCATTGACTTTTAACTTTGATAACCAAATCAGCTCAAGTAATTTGCTATATGTAGCACTCAAATTTTCCGTCCATGGAGCCACAGTCTTGAAATTTTTTAATTGTTTTGACTTCTTTTTTTTCCCTTAAAACGATTATTCTTTTTTTCCATTGTGGGGCGTTAGGTTCGGCTGACAAGATTTGTCTGTTGGAAATAATGAAATGAGACAAATATATGTACGGAGAACTCATATTTAATGCACGGTCAATGTTTATATGCATTGGGAATGTGAACTTCTTACGCTTTCAAACTTGTCCCTAATGAAAGGAACTTTGTGACAAGTAAACAAGAATATTGATATAATTTTCTGATGGGACTAATTAAAGGAGACATTTGTATGCTTAAATTTTTTATTTATGCCATATACATATTGAAAATTTTATAAATGATATTTATAAGTGATGGAATATTAAGGTATTCAACAACGAGTTATGTACCTTGTAATTCGCAGCGAAAGTCGTTGATCTACTTCTTTGACAGGATTGCACTCAAGTCCGTCTTTGAATCACTGGGAAACAAAGATCTATTCAAAAACTAGAAGTCTTCTTCTGTGTACTGATTGATTCGTCTCAGAAACTCAATTCTTTGTTTCTTGACTGATTTTCAAACGTTTTTCCTCTCTGTATTTTTTACCTTTCCTCTCTCTGTTTTCATGCTTCACATTCCTTAGGAAAACACTCCCACTAGGAGTTTTTTAAGGAGAGGTTCAACAGTTACTTTGTAACTGTTCTGCCTTATCCATTAAAAGGATTTATCCAATTAATTATTAATTAATTAATTTGGATAAGGC